TCCCTTCTGTTTCCTTTTGTCTCCCGTCTTGTCCCCCTTCTTGTTGGTCATTGTGTCCACCTTGTTTCCCTTCTGCCTTCCTTTGGCGGTCTTGTCTCCCTTCTTGTTTCCCTTTGTCTCGGGTCTTGTCTCCCTTCTTGTTGGTCATTGTGTCCGTCTTGTCTCCCTTCTGTTTCCTTTTTTCTCCCTTCTTGTTTCCCTTCTTGTTGGTCATTGTGTCTGTCTTGTCTCCCTTTTTTCCTTTCGTCTGCCTTCTTGTCTCCCTTCATTGTGTCCGCCTTGTCTCCCTTCTTGCCTCCCTTTGTGTCCAGTCTTGTCTCACTTCTTGTTGGTCACTGTGCCCGTCTTGTCTCGCTTCTGTTCCGTTCTTGTCTTCCTTGTTGTCTCCCTTCTTGTTGGTCATTGTGTCCGCCTTGTCTTCCTTCTTGTCTCCCTTTGTCTCCCTTCTTGTTGGTCATTGTGTTCGTCTTGTCTCCCTTCTGATTCCTTTTGTCTCCCTTCTTGTTGGTCATTGTGTCCGCCTTGTCCCTCTTTCTGTTTCCTTTTGTCTCCTCTTGTTGATGTATCAAAAAGTGGACTTGGGAATGCTTCGTTGTTGTCTAACCTGTTTGGGGTCTACGGTGGTGTATTTTTCAATATTCTGGCAGGGTGTAACGTTAGTAGTAATATATTCCAAGACGTGGTTCAGCTTTGGAATAAGTAAGTCAATTTAACATTCCAGAGAAGTTTGAGGTCTTGAAAAAAATATTCCTGGTATGTCTTCACCCATGATGCAAAAACATGCTAAAACCGATGCCGTGATGATTGCAAAAAGAGGCTGCAAAAAAAATCAGACGCACAATCAGACTTTTTCCCCTGGCTGGCGAGTCTTTGAATATCTTCGAACCTTTCGAGTGTCGTTCAAACAAACGTGAATCTGCGGAACGATGCGGAACGAAAACATCGACTCATCTGTATCTAAAAGATGCTGTATGACAGAATCACGTCATATCACCTCATGTGACGTCATGTCGCCATCACAGGCTGCTCCGACTCTCTGTACAGCTGGATCAGCCACCGGCGAAACTTTGCAGAATCGTCCCTGGAGCAGGGGCTACTGCACGCAGCTCCCTCATGACCAAGCGGCCGTACCTGGTTCAAATTGGTTCAGTGTGAAAAACATATCTATTCGATCTGTGAACATTTATATGTTTTATTGTATTATACTATATTTTCATAAACCTAAGTGTGTGTTTTTCTGAGTTGCTGTGGTAATTAGTTTCCATGGGCATCCTGGAGGTCAATACCTTCAGGAATAAAAAGGCAACAATATCTTCACTATTTCCCCAGTGTATTGTGTAAGGTATTCCATTGGTAGCTTGGAGGTCAAGTACTGCAGGAATAAGCAAAACAAATACATGCATGATTGTTTCCCAGATGCGGTGTGGACTGGGCCTCTTTAGACATTTTCTTGAAGTATTCGCTTCCTTTCAAATATGTTCTAAAGTACGAAGGCGCCCGTGCCAGCAATTCGCTCCAGGTCACAACAACGTCGCTCTTGCCGAGCTTCACCATGCCCTTGTGCTCCTCCAACTGGCCACCATGCGTTTGGAAATCCAAACGCATTTGGTTCATGACTCTCTGCACGTTCTTGGTTCCATTGCTGGATCTCTGGAAGTCTTCTTCGTTGAAGTAGCTTTTGGTTGAAACTACTGGCTGCTTCTTGGACCCTTCAAATGGTACATTTGCTTTTCGAAGACGGCCAATGGCTCTGACACATTTCTTGGTGATCCACACGTTCAAGACCTTCGCAGTGTACTCAAAGCGGAGGTGTTCACGCCTTACCTCGGCCAGCAAGGCACCACTGTGAGGGTCTAAAGGGAAGACCGGTGCGATGGCAGAAGCTGCGCACAGCTCCCAGCCATCCGACGATTCCCCTTGGGGTGTGAGGAGCCTGACATGTAACGTGGTGGCAGCCTGAGTAGGCAATGTTGAATATTGTTGAATACATTCCGGGCAGAACATGGCAGAAAGAAATAGAACAACAAAAACTTTGAATCTGACCGAGTCAAAGCTCCAATTCGTAAAGGACCGCTGTCGCCCCCTGCAAGGCATGGACGGACCAGAAGTACCTGGCAAACTCGTTCATTTTCGGAATTGGTGAAGCAGCTTGGATTCAAACGGTCAATCTCCCGGAGAGGCTTACCATCTTCTGTTTCGTCCTCACCCTTCGAGGCCACCAACGCACGGCTCTGGAAATCGAACCACAGGGCATGTCGAGATTGGCGAGCAGCCGAAAGATGGAATTCAGCATTTGCCATCGACAACTCATGTTCGAAAAGCTGTTGCTCATTCACTGGAAGCACTGGGCCCAGAACTCGGTGTTTACTCAGCAGCTGCTCCTCGCACCTGACCATTGACGCGAAAGCCTTCATGCGGGGAAGGACTTTCGGCACACGATCCAAGAGATGCGCCTCGCAATCATGCTGAGGCTCAAAGGATTGCAAGCCACTTTAACGAAGAACATTGGCCAATGTTTTGCAAACCTGACTCGTCCTAGCCACCTTTTGCAGGGGACTCTGTCATTTCATCCTCTTCGGCAAAGTCTTGGTCTGGCACCTCAACTGAATCGGTGGCAGCATACAGCTCAGCAGTTGTTGTCTCCTAATGAGTCAAAATGGTGTCGGCATCAAGCATTTCCAAGGATTGCACTACAGGACCCACTTCAGCTCCCAGGTCCCAAAGAAGGGTCTTCAGTAGCATTCTCTTCCTCGGACCCCTGGAAAAATACCCAAACCAGAATATAGATCCTGAAACATCGTCACAGCAAATATGTTTTTTCCCCTAATTGAACTATTCTGTGGGTATGGGACCCCTTCTTTACTCAAGGAAAGTTTGAAAAAATCACAGCTTCTGACAGAATGTTTTCCTCTTGAATCAGTATTGTTCAATTGTATAAGTATCTTTGTGGTATGTGTGCCCTTGGATACTGGTCGATTTTTTAAATCATCCACACCATGTAATAAGTTGAAAGAGCTTCAGGAAGTTTGTACATCTTTAGGCTTGAACGGAGGCGGGGCCAAGAGAAAGTCGTTGGGCAGGTTGAGTAGCTATAGAAGGATGTTGATTCCGCACACAACTACCTACAGCAACGACTACAAGGACCTCGTCCAGTGTTGGAGCCTTCAAAACCGAAGATGCCAGAAGACCCAGCTGAGATAGAGAGACACATGGCAACACATTTATTTTTTTCAGGTTGGTGTGATTTTTGCATTCAGGCCAAATCCCGTGAACACAAAACAGCTTCGAATACAGATTTCGTTGAGCATGACACAGGTGTGCCTCATCTTCAGCTAGGTTGGATGTTTTTGGGGAGATCATGTCCTTCATTGGTTATGTTGGATTGCAATACCAGGTTTGGAAGCATTTTCCCCGCACCATCGAGAGGTGTGTTCAAGTCAGTGGCCGAAGCAATTGTCAAATTTTCATTGGAGATGAACCATTTGCAAGAGGTCGTTTTTGTAATGGACAGCAAACCAGCAACGATTGGATTGCTTGATATGGCAGTCACAATCGGACAGCAGATGGGATACAAGTCGGAAACATGTTGGAGTGTTGAGTGAGACGCACTGCCTTCGAGTTTGGGCCTTATCACATGCAGTATTCCTTCTAAACAGATTTCATGAGCACACAGCAATCAAGTCGACGCCATATAAGCTTGTGTTCGGCAAGAAGTGCATTGGGAAGAGCCTCCCATATGGGGAGTTTTTGTCGGGACTTCGAAAACCCTCACGAGTTCAAGGCACGCACGGCAGTACGGGTCGGAGGAGTCTGGCGCGGTTCATACAAGATCGATTAGAAGATGTGCCAATCCATGGCGTCCAGAGATTGTGGCATCGTTGACCAATTCACCTTGGAGCAAATGTAAAAGTTCGAGACCTGTTGGATTGCTAGAAGCACCCATGCAGGAGTCGCATGAAGGGAAACTAGAAGGTGAGCGGAGAGGTAGATAAAGATGCAGCTGAAGTCATGGGACTTTTGCATGAGGCAGATAAGCTAGAGTATACACCCTCGGAGCCAATACAAGCAGATGAGGAGAGAAGTTGTCGAGCTTGAGTGGCCCGATCCCAAACGAGCAAGACAAGAGATTTTGGATCAGGAGGAGATGAGGCCGTTGAGTTCGGAAGAGAGAAGTCATTTGCTAGGCCTTCCTTCTAGCGCAATACAGCGAGAAGATGTTGAAATGAAGTCAACTGCTGACAAACGAGAAACGGAGCATGAAGAGGAACAAGAAGGTAGTCGGAAGATTCCCAAACGAGAAGGTAGTCCAATGTCGAGCGGTTTATATTCTCCTTTCTATGCTGGACAGGTTGAACTCAGAATGCCGGATGATGACGAGCATTGGGAGGAGGATGTTGATTGAGACAACATTGCTTTTCACATCGTTGAAAGCATGTACCATGGAGAACAACCACCAGAGCTGTCAGAAGCAGATCTTGCAGACCTTGATGGTCAAGCGATGAGAGAAGAAGTTGAAAAGTTGACAGGGCTAGGAGTTGTGAAGGTGGTCAAAGATCAGTCATAATCGAGACCCAGCTGGCAAGTTTGTGTGGAGGTGTTAGATTGGCGGTATCGAAACGACAGATGGAAACGTCGATGCCGCATTGTTGAAAGGGATTTCAAGACTGGTCCGAGCACTTCAGATATATACATTTTCACCTACGTCAGCTGGAGGGGCAATTCGTTTCTTTCTGTTGTTTCATTTGGTGTATGGCTGGAAAGTGTTGTCAATGGACATTAGTGATGCCTACCTCATTGGATCAAAGGCCTCTTGGGTTTGAAAAGTGAAGACCTGTGGGAATTGAGGCGCGCTTTGCCCGGTCAGAGGAATGGTGCACAACGATGGTTCAATTATTTGACATATTTTCTGAAAAAGCTGGGATTCTTGCAGTGCACATCTATGCCCTCAGTGATGCGTCACAAGACAAGGAAGATGTGATCAATATACATGTGGGTGATGAACTAGTGGCAGCTGAAAACATGGAAGAAGCTCACTGGTTCATGAATGAACTACGGAAGAAATTCCAGTTGCAGGTTGAAGGACGGTTTCCCCAAGGACCTCGTGGAGCAGGTGAAGAGTTGAGCTACTTGAAGAAGACATATGTTTTCACCGGAGGGGGTATTTTGGTGACGCCCAACGAGACGTACATCGAGAGCTTGCTTAAGTTATATGATGTTGGCAGCCGCAAGTACAAGCAGGTTCCAGAACACAGTTTGTTGGGACAGTTGGATTTTTCAGAAGAGTTTGATCAGCAGAAGCGGTCATTGTTTAAAAGTGGCTTGGGAGTGGCCATGTATTTTTGCCCAGGATCCTATTGATATTCAATACTGCGTGAAGAGTCTGGCAAGCTCAATGAAGTGTCCTACACGGCAAGCAGGGAAGGACCAGGAGCTTCGGAACCATCTCATCCTCTTCGCCCCCCTGGGAAAAGAAACCTTCATCGCCACCGTACACCTCCATGTTCACTGCATTGATGCCTGCGTAGGCCGGAGGATGTAGATGCTTCGTTTGGTCCTGCTTGCGGTCAGGCCGCCAGGGTTTGATCGCTTTGTACAATGGGTCACCTTTGTCACTCACTCATCGGCAGAAGCGGAGCTGTTTGGGTACTGTGACGCCGTAGTAATGAGCGAGGCCGTGTCACCTCTGGTCAACCTGTTAGCAGACCATCGATTGCAGCATGAGGAGCACCAAGAGCTCCTGGGGGACTCCCAAACTGGGTTCCGCATTGTTCAAGTTCCAGCAGACGGACCGTGGAGGACAACACATCTAAGACTGCCCTTGGACGCTGGAAACCTCAGCCGGTTCTTGGAATTGAGTTGGTGGCCGGCCTGCTAACGAAAGTATTCTGGTCTCCTGCCGCTTGGGCTATGTTCTTACCAAGTTTTGAGATACTGATAGAAAAATGGGTTTACCCTTGGGGTGCCTGAAATAGAAAGTGCACCAATACAAAATCAAAGACCCCTGGGCCCAAATGTGCATGCATTTTAGCTTTACAAGTTCTTGCACCTCACCCTTCAAAACACTAAATCAAGACCCCCAGGGTCCAAAATGCAAAAAACAAAATCGAGACACCCTTCCTCTGTCTGCGCAGAATTTAAG